AAATCTTTTCAACCGAATTGTAATAATGAGACTTTTGATGCCGTTTTTTAATTTTGCAAAGATTGATTTGCAAAAAAACTTGAATAACTGGGACAAAGCTATTCTGATTTAGTTATGGGATCTCAGTAGAAAGGTATTTTCCCACTATTTTTATTACTGTGCAAAAAAAAGACATTCGTGTCCCATTTTTTTTCCAAATACCAAAACATCTTAATTAAACCTGGAATGACGCTCGTTCGTCTACCTTTCTCTTTCATCCTTTATAGGAGTTTATTGGCAAAGAAATAAAAAGGATGAGAAAATATTTTTCCAATGATACCTCAAAAGTGGAAACCGGAGTAGTTTAAGTTCAGTTATTAAAATTTTTCTTAAACCAATCTATAAAAAAAGTTAAAAAACAGCATCAAAAATCTCATTGTTACGATTCCGCTGAAATTTTTAGTTTAATAATTTTATGTAAGTTTTTTAAGCTTAAACCGTTTTGTCATTTGAGGGAATTTTTTTCAAAAAAGTCTTTAAGAAACTATTTTTATCCATAAAGATTCTATTTTTGGAGATATTTTCAAATCGTAAATCTTAATATTTTTCGGAAATATTTTGGTGGACGTCTTAAAATATAATAGATTTTATTATTGCAAAGGAAACACAGTACCGATTTTTTTTTTGTATGGGGAGTGATGCAGTCTAATGTACATATATTTACTAAAAACTTAACAATAAATATAAATGCATTTCTTTATAATTTAATTTTCTAGATTGATAAAAACAATAAATGCTCATCAAAATGACTGACCATTTCAAACCAAAATTTTACTCCACATTTCTGCCGCAAATCGTGTGTGGCATGCGCAAAAATTGAAATACAAATATTTACTTGTAAATATGTGTTTTAGATTTCATACGAAAAATATTTTTAAGCCAACGAATGAATTTTAAAAATTATTTGTATTTGTACACTCAACGGGTGGATGCATGCACACATGTACATATTGTATGTATGTACATATGCACATATATGAGTGTATGTACGCACGTTTAAAAAGTTGTATGAAGCTAAAAACCGACAATATATTGCAAATAAATAAAAATCATTGAATTCAAATATTTTGTAAATAGCGTCAATACTTTGCATTCAATAGCCAAATATAACCATTTGTACAAAATACCAAAATGCAAAACGCAAAATACACATGTATGTATGTACATTTGTATATATTGGAAATACGTATTTACGTGTGTATGTAAGCATTTTGCTAGCATTTTCATTGACATCCCAAAGTTAGCGAAGAATCATGGCGGACATGTGATAGCAAAAGAGCGTGTCAATTGATAGTTGCCCCAATGGGGGAATGGGGAAAACTGGAACATGCATACATTCATGCACGCCAACGCAACACGAGTCAACAACAGCAACAATGTTGTTCTCGCATAAGTAACTAAGTTCGTACTGTATACAGTATACATATATGTACATGTGTGTGTATGTAGTATGTAGTAGTTCTGCATGGCTGTATGAGAGTACTTTAAAAGGTTAACTAATAGCGTTTTCTTTTCTCCAAAAAAGGCTGCACTTATTCTGCCTTGTGTTAGCGCTGTCACATTTTCATGTTCTTTCCTCAGCACTTTCACAAGGCGTCGTGTTCTTTTCTCAGCAGGTTGCGCTCTGATCCGGCGAAAGTGCTGCCTTTTCTGCCCTCAAATAAACGTGAGGGTGAGAGTTGCATGGTTGATTTTTAATTTAATCTTGTAAAAATGCAATTATTTTACCTATCAGAAATAAGTGTTTTGCTTTAAAATTGTTAAAGACTTACAGGCCAAGTGAATAATTCAGCTTTATTAAGTTCTATAAATAAATTGTGATGGAGTAGTATATTTTCTGTTTCATTCTCATATAAAGAACGCAACATTTTCTCAGGTTTCAGGGCAACGCAAAGCAAGAGTTCCCATATAAAAGGGCATAACTTATTTTGAGAAAAGAAAACGCTATAAACATCTGCGAGAGCTTAAGGGTCTGATTATGCATACTTCGCACAACCATTTGTACCAGTGCAATAAAAATGTAACTTAAGAAAATGTGAAGCAAAATCTAAACTGAACAGATCGCTCAGTTTTTAAAAGTTCTGCTAATTTCTGGGTAATGGAATACATACAAATTAGATACAAAGTACATACGAAATTACAGTTTAAAGTTTATGCGAAGTTGTGCGAAGTTATGCGAAGTATGCATAATCAGACCATAAAGGGTCAACATACATACATACATATTTATTAGTAGATATGCATTAAGAAAATAATAGAAGACTAACTCTTGGCCTTCTATATGTACATGGAATTTGGTTGATGATTTTTCGTTAAGAAAAAATCACAAATATTATATCGGAGAAGCTAGTTTTTTTGATCCATTAACTGTTTGGTTTCTACAAGAAAAGGCTTGATGCTGCTTATTAGGTAGAGGAATTAAGCACCAATGACGAAAACTGAGCTGAACAGACAGCTACGACTACAGATCATTGATACATTGGCTGCTAGGTGGCTGAAATCAGCCGCTTTGACACCGTGCTGTCATTCGCGAGATATAATTTCCTAAATGGATATATTATATAATTTTTGATGTATTTATTTTGGCCGTTAGAAAAAATCAGTTTTGAAAAATTTTACTTTGACCACTAAATATTCGAAAAATAGACACTTGTATATAAAAAGCTTATATGAAAGAAATATTTCCGGTTTCCGTTTACATAAAATTGTTTATTTTGTTATTTGCTCTTAAACCATTTATCTAAGATATATTGATCTGTAAAGCTACATACCTATGTATAATTTTTGGTAAATTTTTGGAATTTAGGTCAAAATCGTCTTATTTTTTATACCCAAGCTATTCGAAAATGCGCGGGTATCGAAAAAATGTTACACTAGTTTTCCGTTCAATACCCGTAATGTGATATTAAATAAGCTTGAATGTTTTTAATAACCGTTTTTGTAACTTCTTAGAAAAGGTGGCAACACTATTACGATTTCTTTTCAATTTTTTTTTTTTAAATACAAATTTAAGTAACTTTAAATTTTCATATAGCTGGCAACCCTACCCTTCATGATCGAAACATAGACATAGTTCGGTCGTTGCCTAGGCGATTATTTAGCGTTTGAGTTGGACTATGAAATATGCATCTCCACCATAGTTGCACTGCGAATTTCAATAATATGAAATGTGAATTTCTACAAAACTCTTATATGTTCATAAAGATTCGCATTGCATTAATATTTTCATATGTTCTCCACATTTGCAATATTAAAATTGCGCTCTTTGCAATCAAATGAAGAGCACCCACACTAGAAACATTTCCATTTGCCATTTTTCACACACACACCCCTCGGCATGCACAAAGCACTAAAGCCACATCATGACGCGGCTTAAATAAGCTGTCAAATATGCCCTTCGCCTTATTGCTTGCAATTTGATTTGAACTATTTAATTTCAAAAAGAAAAAAAGGCTAAATCTCAGTATGCCTCTAACACCCACACACCCACAATATATATATATACACATCTCTAACGTTTCCTTTCAAGTAATTTTTCGATTACAGCAGCAGATGAAGTATGCATGCAATGAATAGAATTTTTGCAATATTTCAACGGGATGGCGCTTGCAAATTGCAAAACGCCTCGACAATTTCTCTTCAACATCGACAGCAATGAAGTTTGCAGGCATCTTGCATGCAGTTGACAGCAGCATTATTACGCTAGGGCAACAACGAAAACAGCAACAACTGCAGCAGCAAAGTGTAAGTTGTGAAGCAAAAGCTATTGGGCACAGGAATTGTAACATACTTACAGGCGCACTGCCTTATGAAGCCAGCCAGGGTCATGAATATGCACTCATACATACTTATGTATATGGACGCACGGAACATCCCTGTGGGGAAAATCTCTAGTTCTGAACTGGTGCGCTTCTAGTACATTTAGACCCAGTACTGGTTCGCGATAAATCTCTTTTGCATGCAAGCAACTGGCGAATTTAACATGGCGATGTCCTAGGAAGTGTCAATTGCCCCCCGCTGCATCCCTTTTTCGATAGTTCCGAACTAGTCCAAAATTCGATAGTTCCGAACTAGTTCTAAAATCGACATACGAAAGAAAAAAGTATCATGATTTTTCAATCATTTTGGTTCTTCCGTGTGTGCGATTTTAAGTTATTTTGGAAGAAATGTGTTTCAATTTGAAATTAAATTTGTTTGAATGATTGTAAGAAATGTACGTTTACATACTTTTAGCTGCAGTTGAGTTTGCAGAGGTGCTCGCCGTTATTTCTTAGATTTCAGACTGTCCCAAGATGTTGAAATGTTAACACAAATTTTAGTATTGTATTACCAAGCTATGAAAAAGCATCTGCGAAGCACAGAATAGAAGCGTGTTTGAACGAAAAAGCCGCCGAACACAAATCTATGTAAAGTAAACAAGCCCCCCGCTGCATCCCTTTTTCGATAGTTCCGAACTGGTTCTAAATTCGACAAATAAGATCTAGTTCGTTCTGCAACCCTTTTTCTATAGTTCCGAACTATTTCTAAATTCGTCACTTTAGATATAGATTTCAAGTGAAAAAAACTGAAAAAAATTAGTACCACTTTTCGTCGATTTTGGACTGGTGGGGATCTAGTTCCTATCGGACCAGTTCGTTTTTGGCGATAAAGACCTAGTACGGAACTAGAAATTTGATTCACTAGTCCGCGGTTTCCCTACAGGGATATTACAGTATACATACATATATACAACATTTAAGAAATTGTCTATAACTAGCGTTAGTATGTAGATGTTGTTGCTGCATAATACACTTTCGTGCATTTGGAATAAATGGACGCTCATACATATATACTTACACACTTGCTTACCACACGCGCGCATACGCTCAAAACGACCTTACAAATCATATTTTGTTGAATTGCTTAACTTTTGCGAATATAGATATATGTAGTATGTATGTAGCTGCTGCATCGACACTTACCTCCCAATATCCATTTCCGGATGCTGTTGTCACATCACTGTATGCCAACACTGCTGCTGTACGACTACTCCGGAAATCGAATTTAATATTAAATTCTTCGGCGTGATTTATGGGCCACCAAATGTGAGATGTCGCAAAAGGGTACGTTATGGGTATGACGTTGACTTCGTTCTCTTGAAATTCGGCTTCGAGGACACCTGCATACATATAAATAGATAGATAGATAGTTAGAAGAAATAGCAATAATCATTGAGACATTCACAAATGTTGCGAACGCGCATGTGCTAATGTATTTCAAAAAGTGTAGATTGGACTGATAAGCACATAATTTTCAAAATAACACTGCATATATGTACATTAGGGTGCCTCACGAAAAAAGTGGCGGCTTTTCCGAGGGAATTATAAAATTTATTATAATTTAAGACATCCGCCAGAAAAATTCGGAAAATATTAAGGATTTCATGAGCTAGACCGATTTAAAAATTCCACAAAAAATCTTATGATTTTGATTCCGTTGATGAAATTTTGCAACCATTTAAACTTAAACGCTTCAATTATTTGGACTGATATTTGGAAAAAATATTTTAAAAAACTATACAATTTTATTTATGAAAAAAAAACAATTTTCTTAAGTTTTGTTTTAAATACGCCTAGTTCACATGAATCTTAAAATTTTTCAGAAATCTTTTAGAGAGTCTTAAATAGTAAATTTTACAATTCCGATAGAAAAACAATACCCTTTTTTTTTGTCTGGAGGCTCATGCACCCAAATGTATACATACTACCTATGTATGTGTATTTGTATCGCGGCAGTATGTATCTGCAATTAAAGTTTGATTTATGTGCCAGTACGGGAAACAGCGGGCGAAATAAGAAAATTCTATGATTGATCTGCAAGTTCCGTTTGCGATTATTAAATGCAATATGTAACACATTTCTTATATTTCATATGCAATAAATAACAGCAATCTGCTTTTGCTACGTTTATCTGATATTGGTGTGAATTTGCAAATGTCGCTAAATAACTTTTATCTCACAAACTCTGCAGCAATTTCTTTAGGTGATTGGTAGGCTCAGATAAAAATTAAAAAAAAAAAAACAAAAAAAAACAAGCAAAACTAAACTGAAAGTTCCTGAAAAATGAGAATGCTCCCGAAAAACTCAAAGTATCTCCAAACCAACCCCGCAAAAATTCCAAATAATCTCGAAAAAGTCACAAATAAACTTCAGAATATTTCCAAATGTGCCTATAAAATTCCGAAGTGCGCGAAAAAATACCCAGATAAAATTAAAAAACTTCCCAACTTTCAAAAAAAAAAAAACAAAAAACAATTGTGGAAATCCCAGAAGAATCTCCAAATTAAGTTTCGATGGCTAAGTTCCTAAGGTAACAAAGGGCTCTTAAGAAATTCTCTTAAAATCACTAAACTAAAAACTACCGAACGATTCGTGAAAAAAGGTTTAGAAAATTTCCGATGAAATTTCCAGTATTTATGTTAATTTTTTAAAGTTCATAAAATATTAATAAACAACTCTAAGATGATCCCGAAAAATTTCGAAAAGGTCATTAATAACTCTCAAAAGAAAACAAACAACAATAGTTCCCGTAAAAAGCCCAACGAGGTCCCGAAAAAATACTCGAAAATCAAACCGGACGGAAAACTTCGAAAACCAAAATTTTCTAAAGAAGAAAAATTCTCAAAAATCTACAAAATTCTTGACTACACTCTGAAAGGTCCCTATGAACTTCGGCAAAACTCGAAAAGCAAATAAACTGAAATAAAAACCACCAGAATATTTCCCAAAACGGTATGGAGAAAACTCAAAAAATTGCCCAACAAATTTTCAATAATATGTGAAAAAAAACTTGAGAGAATACGAAGAACGATCCCAAAAAATGACATCACAAAAAATCCCGAAAAAATTCCGAAAATTAAAAAAAATGCATCACTGAATTCCGAAAAATAAAGCAAACTAAGTTAAATAAACCTCAAAGCTCACGAAAACGTATCTAAGAAATCCCCCAAAAAGCCGCAAAAAAATCAGAGAAAATGGCGAAGTCATAAAAAATGTCGAAACACTTCGAAAATTTCAAAAAAAAAAATATGATGAGGAAATGTGGTTATTTCCGAAATAGCTATCACCTCGACCATTTTTTCAAATTGTTGTTGCTCTTCCACAATAAAGTTTTCACTAAAAACGGCCTCAAGCTCATAAAAATTTTTGAATATAATTGTTATAAGGCCGTAAAATAACAAAAACAAAAAAAAATGACTAAATTGCAAAAGATTCAAAGAAAGATTTAAAATTTCGAAGAACTCGGAAATTTAAGCAAGCAAAAGCTAAATAAACCTGAAATTTTTCGAAGAAGTCTAGGGGAAACTCCAAACAATACTCAAAAAAATCGAAAAATCGAAATCGAAATCAAAAAAAAAAATCTCGAAATAACTGGATCGCGCAGAAGTATCTAAAACTCCGAAAAATACCAAAGGAATCTCGAAAAAAATTAGAAATGTCATCAAAGGCTCCCTACATAAAAAATTTCTAAAAAAATTCCGAAAATTGTTGAACAACTCGAAATTTAACAAAAAGAAAAGCGACAGTATGTTCGGAAATTCCCGAAAATTTTGCGGAAGTCCCTAAAGACTCCCTTGAAAAACCCAAAAGGATCCGGAAAAATATCGAAATCTCTACTTGGGCTCGGATGCACGGAAAGGTACATTGGATTTTAAGATTTGAATTTTTCTAAGGAAGGAGGTTTTAGGAGCTTAGAAAGTATTCTTCTTATTTACATTAATAGCAGCATTTATTTCACACGCGAGTGTACTTATCGGATCATTTTAAACAAATATGTACATATACATACATACATATGTATGTATTTATGTCCATATGAAGTTTTCGCTCGCATGTGCACTATCTCAAACAACTCACTCGTTCATACTTTACTTACCGTGATAGTGTACCTTCGGATTACTTTTATGCAATTCATATAAAATCGACACATCATTATAGTAGACATATTTAAGACTGCCAACAAAATTATTCTGCGAATGTAAGCCCTTCTTTTTGTGCAAATCCGGACCGCCACCGAAATAAATTTCCGGATCAAATAGCAAATTGCCGCTTGACGTAGCAGGTATTTCCAATATTTTCATTTGCTGATCAAGTATGATGCGCACGGTGCGTCGTTCATGGTGAATGGTTAAATTATGCCAATTACTGCGCGTCAACTCGTCGGTGAGCACTGTCGACATAACGTTATCGCCAAAATCCATTTCCACATGAATTGATTGATTTTTTATCGAAGCGGCAATGTACTGATGCTTGAGTGATTCACCGCTCGCATAGAAGAGTGCTGAATCATCGAATTGTGTGCGAAACATGAGACTAATGCGGGTATTGGAGGAATGTACGCGATCCTTCCAGTCATAGATGCGATAGGAAACATAGCTGGAGCCGCGTAGTGTTATTATGGTGGCAGCTGTAAAGGGAAGTAGAAGAAGAAGGAAAAATAAGAAGAAATATGTAATGAAATATTGCATGTGTTGAAGGTAAATATGTACATATGTATGTACTTTAAAAAATAATTATTATTAATTAACTCAGAACTACTAATTTTTTGATTTTCACGTCCTTATGTACATACTATACATAAGTATACGGATGTATGCAATTAAAAAATTAGAAATATACATACGAGTAAATAAGTAAAATTGCTAGAATACATAATCTGTGCATTATGTGTAAAGATGGAACGCTTCTTTATGTCTTAATTTTAAAAATTTTTATGGAGCGTAGGCCTATATCCTATTCCTTAAATCTGAAACCATAGCTACTAGCTAGTATGGCTTTTATAATGGTTAGATTAGGTTAAGTCAAGTAGCTGATGAACTTAGAGGATGTACGTACACCTAGGCTTAGTCAGGGGCTCATCGTGATACAATAGATCCAAAACCTCTACTCGTTAATCCAGTTCGTGGAGTCTACAAATCTTAGTAATCACCGTGTTCCAAACCTTCCCATTTCGCTTAGATCATATAGAACCCTATACCAACGAATATCTCCTTTTTCCTGCATTGTTCAGGGCAATCGCAGAGTAAGTTCCTGATTGAGTACGGCTCTTCTACGTTCATCGTAGCAGCTCCTGCAGTAGTTATTGTGGCTGAAGCCGAGACGTTTAGCAGTAAGCCAATGGCCAATGACATATCGCAACTACTGAGAATGAGAAACTGTCTTGATTTCCTTATATTTCCTTAAGGCGTCGTAAGCTTCTTTTTATTGGCAGTTTCAGTGCGCTCGCACCTCGCACACACTTCTTCAAACTAATTTTCCTTTAGTAAGAGCCTGCAGGTAGCTAGTGCCATACCTAATGTGACCAACAAGGTCATACCTCAACGAAGTACAGGTTAGGTTGGATTAGGTTGAAGTGGTTGCCATAAGCAAGGGACACACTTGGAGAATTAAGAGATTGTCCTTTGTGATACTGCAAGAAAACTGAGCGGAGGCCCTTCACTTAGTCGGCAAAATGCCGCGAGCCGATTACCAAATTTCGAATGCGGCTAATTTCGATTCCTGAGAGCTCAGTGTTAGTTAAGAAGGAGCCTCGCGAACGTTGGACAGTCTGAAAGAGAGTGTGGAGATGATTCCACCTAATCTTCCCCTTTACAGCTGATACAAAAGGGATCAGTTGAAATTCCTAGTCTTACCGCGTCAATACCAATCGCGCAATGACCTGTCAGAATCCCCATCACTAGCCTTTGAGATTTGACGTGTTTTTCGGCACATTTAAGGGGTAAAGATGGGCCACTCGTAACTTGTGCTGCAAAAAATATTTTGAAGTCCCCTTTGAAAATATTATCTTCAGCAGGAAAACGTCTCCTTTTCCATTTTAGAGTGTACCGCAGAAGGACAGAGGCGTCCCTAGTTGCTCCTTATCCGGGGATAAGGTGCCTTTCCAACGCCAGATCATCAGCCACGCAGTCACACCCTGTAGCATTCAGTCTACCGCTTCCTTGATGATGCGGAAGTCTGGAAGCCTGAACATAGTTTTGGTGGAGAGTCTGTGACAGAAAAAACCTCCACCAACCCGTTCGTGAGGAAGTTTACTGCTCCCTTCTTCTAGTAATCCCGCCCTACCCAGCCCTCTCTTGGTGGAATATAGGTAGAGAAGCAGCTTCTCAGAGCTATTTCGGAAGAGCTGTAATCCATGTATTCAGGGCGAAGTGAAAGCTCTCCACAACTCCAAAGTGTTACCCCCGGTTTCTATGAGCCTAATTGCAGCTCGTACTGCGACAATTCTGTCTGCAATATCCGCAGGCGCTGTGTTCAACATGATGGTAAACGCCAGTAGGTGTGGTTCCTAATACACCACAAATTCCTATTAGGGCGATCCGCCTTTTTTCCACGACAGCTTCCTCTACTCGATCAAGTCTAAGTACTTGACCCTGTGTGAAAGCCACAGATGAACACCTCCACTCGAGGGAAGGGAGACAACGGGTATCTTGTACTTTCTGGTAAACAAGATCAGTTCCGTCTTGCTGGGATTTCAGGTAACCTTGAGCCAGATCAAAAAGGGTGTCCAGACATCGTCCCTTAACCAAAAGTTCCACATTCCCGACAGCCCAGTTCCTCTAGAAGGTCGTTTAAAACCGCAATCGAGAGCAGGGGAGAGAGAACACCACCTTTCGGAGTGCCCCTATTGACTCTGCTCTGAGTGTAGGCGCTCCCCCACTCCGCCGCGACAGTTCTGTCACGAATTCAGTGCCATTATTAGGTTGGTTTCAACCCCCAAATTATTAATATACTTGACTATTGCCACTGGAGTGACATTGTTGAAGGCCGCTTAGATGTCCAGGAAGGCCCCTACTGCATAATCTTTATGCGTGAAGGCTTCCTCCAACCACTTTCCCAATGCGTGAAGGGCGGTATCCACCGACATTTTCTTGTAATAAGCATATTGAGCTCTCGAAAGACAGTCACGAGGAATCGCGTTTCCTATGTACAATAGCGTGGGCCGAAAATCCGCTTTTTTAGAATTTTGATTGGTAATAGCAAAAATATGGTTCATTATGCTCTAAAAATAGGCTGTGTGAAAGATGACAATTTTTATTTTCCATTAAAGGTGCTTCTTCTTTCGAGTGGGCCTCGAGTATGGGCCTCACTATGACATACAACAACATATCGACATTACTATTTGGAATATTGAAGCCCTTCATAAACCAACTGATAGAGTCTTATTAGGGTTTGCTTCAGAGCTGCAAAATTCACGATTGACCATATTTGCAAAGTTCGTCAAATCCTGGAAAAAACCTTAGATAAGAAAATCGACTTTCGGTTGTCTTTTGAGTCGCCTGATAGTATAAAGAGAAGCTGTATCTATGGTGAATTGTCTAAATTTGGTATTCCAACAAAACCAGTGCGGCTTTGTAGAGTAGCTGATCCTTCGAATTTCCATGTGCGTGGATGGAAACTCAGTTCAGTTCTACCAGTTTCAGATAAACCACTTGTTTTATTTATACACAAACTGATTTTGCATAACTTCATAACCATTTTTATTATTGTGAATTTATTTAGAGGAATTTACTTAATACCATGATAAAAACTCAAAGCACAACATAGAACCATCGTCTTTCACAGATCATAGTTTGTCTTCAAACCACTATGCACTACAACAATATCTTTCCTGACCTTGCCATTCTTTGTGCCATAATCCTGTAGACAATCCAATACCCGATGCCCCGACACCAATTCACCGAAAGCGACACGTTCGCCATTGAGCACCGGCAATGGCTTGAAACTGGCTGTGAAATTCAATAGCCCATAAGGGAAACCGTTTTCTATGTAACGTTTGGCGAATGAGAAAATGCCACGACCCGAATCGTGTCGCAACAGATCCATGTCATAATGGAAATTCGGCGAACTCAGCGTGCGATTGTAAACAGAGATTTCGCCTTCGATCCAGAGGCCGGGAAAAATGCGTATAAAGTTTATCGCTTGCAAGCGATTTTCCGAGCACGCGCGTGCAAATTCCAACACCATTTCGGGGCAGGCCTCCGTGTAGAGTTGTATGAAAATGCGACCTAGCGGACGTATATTTTTTACTTCTAAATCGAGATAGATTTTTGGGTGCAGCAGTCGCTCCATAAGTAGCTGCTCCCGTAGCTTTAATCTCTCCAGCGCGGGCATGCTGCTGTGCGTTGCATTCGGCAAGGATGTGGTGGTCAGTAATGGTTTTACTTTCAGCAATCTGCAGCCCAATAATTGATTTTCCATCTGAATACTTTCGACGCGTCGCACCAAATGTTGTAGCCGTGTCTGTGATATGCGCTTTCTTGTGTTGTAGCTGTCGGTGTGTCCGTGTGTACGTCGTATGCAATTGAGGCGCTCCAAAAGCTCTATGTTCTCCTTGATGATGCGTTTTAGCGCGAATTTATCGCCCCGCATGCCACGTACGTTGAGGTAGGCATCCTTTCTGATAAGAGGTGGACCAATATCGACCGCACTAGAAATCTTATTGAGTGCATCTCTATGTTGCTTGTAGAGAAATTGTTCAGCGAAAGAAGCGCGAAAAATGCCCCGTTTTTTAGACATCTCGTCTTTTACTTTTGTTTGGTTGGATGGATTATTGTCTGCGTTGCTGCCGTGAAATTTATGCGAAGGAAAGATTTCGTTAATTGTTATTTAATTTATTTTACACGGGGAAATTCGAGACTCGAAAAGAAATTTGTTATGGAGCTGAAATTTATTTCTCGATTTTGCTGAATTGTTAACAATTACTTGACATTCCTTCAAAAATTACTTTTTCAGAAAACGTTATCATCATTCTTAAGTTTAATTTTCTTTTTTCTTTTGTAGAGTTAAGGATTAGTGCTGCATGGGCATAGTCCATACGAAATCGTCTCTCAAGAGCATTAGCGTACTAGAGGGCTGCATGAATTCATTCACACTTCTAACCAAATAGAGTACAGTAGATTTGAATATTTTACTTCACATACAAAACACTCAGCGTTTGGGATTTTGTATGTTATGAATATACAGGGCAATTCATCTAAACACGTAAAAGCCTCATATCCACGTAAACCTCGTAAGAGGCTGTTACGCGTTTATATGAATTCATATTATTAACGTGAATGTATGAAACATGTATCAGAACAGGTATTCACTCAAATTCAAAAAATTCATTCGTTTTGTATATGAATAATTCATAAGGCATTTTAAATATGAATTCATGCAGCCCTCTATAGCGTACTACATTTTTTATAAAAGGACGTGTACAAATTTATATCCAAATTTATAAAAAATAAAGAAGACTTTAACAGCTTTACAAATCGAAAAACTTTTACGAAAATGTCACTTTATAGAGCTCTATAAACCTATTTTATTTTTTATGAATAGGGCCATTACGGTTGGGTAACATATTGAAAAGGAAAAAGTGGAAAGTTTAAAAAAATATATTTTTTTTATTTTACTAAATTTTTTACATGTCATGTATGTTTTATTTTGGGCTCTCCAACGGTTTTGGAGATAGAAAATAAAACGTAATTCGCATATGTAAATATTATCAGTTTATAAAAAAATTATTGGATAGCAAAAAAAAATATTTTTGTAACGGAAATAATTTCATTTTATAGTTTAATGCTTTCTAAATCAGCACCAAAAAATTGTTTCATTCGGACACTTAACTTCAAAGAAAAATGTCCAAAACACTGCAAAAAATTTCAATTGTTGATTAAAAAAACAGTATTTGGAACTTTGCAACAAAATTTAAACAGGGTAATTTTCGACTGCAAAACTCGGCGCCGCCTGAATATCATTGAAAAATATTAATCTTGGTAAATTCGGGGCCCACTTGAGGAAGCCTCACCCATAAATCAAGTTTAAAATTAATTAAGAGAATATACTTTAAGTTAACAACTAGATTTTTTCACAAGTTTAGCAAAAACCAATAAAGGATTTCCTGCAGGGCATTCGCATACATACATATTCCACATTTCTGCAGCCAGTGCACCAACAAAGCAAAACCATTTTAAATCCAGAAACTTTTTGTTGATAGTTTGTTTTCATGGTTTTTGGGTGCTGTGTTTTTTTTTTGTTTCTAATTGGATTTTTTGTTGTTGTCTATAACTACTTAACTATGTATTATTTACGACCTGAATATGAAGCATGTATGTATGTATGTACATAAGTGTTACTCACTGTAAATATCGCAATGCTCGCCCTCATAGTAGCTGCCAAAGCAATCGCATGAAATGTCATAGTAGTGATTAATGCAACGGGATCCCACAAAACACAAATTGTGTCTGGAATAGCATTTGTCGGCGCAACCTTCGTTGACGTTCTCATGTTTGGTGGCTACCAGTGGTGTAATGGGTAACAAATCGGATGCCGCTTTGCCCGAACTCAAAACAACATTACGAATACAACCAACAAATGATTCGATGATATACTTGACGCCATGCAGTTTCTCCTCCGATGAAAGACCTGCAGCAGAGTGTTGGTGAATGGAATGGATGTGAAAATGCATGTGTGTGTTGCCGTTGCCAGTATGCGTACGAGCGCCAGTTGTGAAAGTTACACGTATACGCCAGCGTGTGCATGCAATCAGAAGAGTGGAGGAATAGTGGCAAAAACAAAACAAAACGCAGCAGGTTATAACGTTTTTGTGTTTTCGGTTTGTTGGTTTTGTTGTTGTTGGTGATTTATAAAGTTTTGAGCATTTTATGCCAATGTTGTTTAGCATGTACGGTTGTTTGGTTGATGTTGCAATTGTTGTTGTTGTTGTTGCGTTTGTGTTTTTCATTGTTTAGTCGCCGTAATGAAGATTAATTAGCATGTAAAAGTAAAAAGGTATAGAAAATTTAATTTAATAAACAAATATAAACAAAAAAGTTAAATGAAAATATATACATATAACTATTGTATTTATGTACATACAAACATATGTATTTGTTTCACTAGCACAAATACATATAAACTGTTTGATGTGATAATTAATTAATTAAAAATATCGCAATGCTGCTGAAATTGTCGATACGTAGTCAATAGATTTCCCTTAAAAAATATGAAATAATTTTGTTTGAAAAAATAATAACTAAAAGAAAAAGTAAATTGAATTAAAAAAGAACCAAAATTTTATTGAACTTATAGAAAAATAAATACAAAAGTTACAAATAAAAAAAATTCTTATCAAAACTATAAAATCTAAAAATTAAAAGAAAATTATATATATAAAAAAAAAATAAAATAAAATAAGTTCCTAAAAATTTAACTAAATTAAAAAAAGCATTTTTCTTAAATAAAATATAAAAATTACAAGAAAACTTAATTAAATATAAAAGAAAAAACAAAAAATAACTTTCTAAACATGTATTAAAAAATAAAAATAAAAATTATATAAAATTAATATCTAAAAATTAATACATAATTACGTAAAAACAATTTAAAATAAAAGAAAAAAGTAAAGTAAGTTCCTAAAAGATAAGATCTAAATAATACAAAAAGACAGCTTCGTAAAAATGTAAAAAATATGTATTTCTCTGTAAAAAAAATAAATTCTACATATTAAGAGAAAAATTAAATAAAACAAAATTTAAATTTCATATAAGTTTCTACAAATTAATTAACATAAAAACAAAAGAAAAAAAAATAGAAATAATAATTTAAAAAAATACATAAAATAAATTTCTAAAAATTTAATAAAGGTAAAATATAAAATCTAATACTCAAAATTAAATTAAAAATAAAAGGAAATTAACAAATTGTAAAAATTTCGCTGTCCAGGGATCTCTCGAATGTCAGTGCTTTGCTCACTCGTGCATTGGGTCTTTTGAGCAGCACGAGCAAAATGATAAAACATCTCCACTTGGAAAATGCTCAGGTATTTTCCGTCAAAAGAGTTCTTCATCACGAAAGTTGGGAAGGGAGCTTTATTTGTAGGACACTCGTACCAGAATAAACAAAATCTTTTAAACTATCTTGCCTAGTGTCTTGCAACAAACAAATTGGGTGTAATAATGCTATAAACTTAAGTTCTAGATAATATTAATGATTTTAAAATACTCCTAGAGCTTTTAGATGCTTTAGAGCTTTTTGGCGGTTGGGGCTCAGTATCATTTGCTACTATCGCACCATAAGACAATATCTACTCACCTCCGACCAGCACCACCGATGGCAGATTCGTTGACACTCCATAGTTGGTGTCATGATTCAAGCCCTTCAAGTAAACTTCCTCTTGACTGTTGTCAACGCGTGCAATCAATCTTGCGCCATGGACATCGATGCGTACCTGCATTGATCGATGGCAAGAGAAAGAAAAAGAAATACATATTACATACATGGCCACATAGTGCGCTGAATGACCTGAAAGCTACACACCAACACAGAACTCAACTACTACTACTACAACTGTTACTAAAATTTTACTGCATCTAAGAGGCTTTTTATCGAAGTATGTACATACCTATTAATGCTTGTGGCTATGGGGTGTGCAACACAAATACAAATGAAATTTTGAAGATAAATCGAATCGAATGACACTGAATGAAATTGATTTGTGGTTAAGAGGTAACACAACAGAAAGGGTTAAGCGTGAGCAAAATGGGGACTATACTCACCAACTATGGACAAGTATGAGATTTTTGAGCATTATTCCACATGCGTGTGTGCGCACATACATAGATTATAAGTGAGTGTATGAGTTTGTATGTCGTGAGTGAAGTAGATAGATGAATGTGTGAATTTTCAATGCAACGCCTTTGTTTTGTTCCAGCGAGTGTGAATTATAGTGTACGCTTCAATGGCAAATAAATTCCTAAATTGCATTCATTTGTATTTGTTCTAGCCCCGCACCAGGCAAAGAGGATGCCAGTAAGGAGTTGGCAAGAAAGCCCCATACATATGAAGAAAAACAAAAAAACAAAGCACAAGCATTCGCAACATGAAAATGCATTCAACGGCAGCGTTATTAATGACCAGAGTCGATAGATAGTGTTGCTCAAGTGTCTTCGGAGAAGAGCTTGATGAGAGCTGAACTCGTAAATCGTATTGCACTCATAGTATATGAGTAGTTATTGCAGTGGTTGTGGTAGTTCTTGTTGTAGTTTTTGTGGTTGACATAACTGATTGTTGGGGTTTTGTGTACTTTTGACAATCAATGCAAATGTATGACTGACTGACAAGTGGAGCGACAGTAGCAAGCATTTGAATGTGAAGACGCTGTCGATAGGCGAAAGCGTGGTTGATGACGAAGAGGAGATACAACTAACTGTACATGCAAAGTGTATATGGAAATTGTTTAGGAGAAAAGTGATTTTAGGACTTGCAGATGAGAAAATGTAAAAGCAAGTCTAGAGTGTTAATATTTTAAAATACAATTTCATGCTCCAAAAGTAATCTGTATCAATCTAAGTTGAGTAATGTAAGCATGAGTGTGGAATTTTTTTGAGATATGAGTTTGAAATTCAATGTATGTGTAGTTCTATATATGTATGTATGTATATACAATGCCTAATTGCCCATAAATAACCTTCAAATAATTTGAGAATCCATACTCTCTCTTACCATTACACTATGCCATTCATCACGATTGAGTCCTTCGCCTACGGTTACACTTGTTGAATGCTTTCCGAAAACATGCACGACCTTCAGTTGACCCTTCTCCACAATCACATACAATGCGTAGGGATCCAAATTAATACGATCCGGATTTTTTACGTTGTGATAGACGAGCAGACCATGCGGTAGACGTGTTCGAAATTGAAATGAGATCTCACGACAAAGTCTGTGGAAAGAAAAGGAAAGATGAAAATAAAGTAATTTTAATTAAGTAATTTAAAATAAAAAAAAATGGAAAGTACACATTAAGGAAATCCATTACTAGAATGACAATCTGCAAAAGAGCGCATAAGAAAAACTTCAAAAATGTAAAAGTTTCTTTTACCTAAAATAAAACTAACGAAGAATTTCGCGAGCAATCAAGAAGCTTTAAAGTAAAAATAATATAATTTTATAAATAAAAAGATTTTTCGTGAAGTCATACTAATATTCGTTATCGATTATTTGCCGTCATTACCGTTGGGATTTGCACTAGAATTTTCGTGTCTTCGAGTTGTCCTGAATGTTTTTAGATAATTTTCGAGAAATTTCGGGTTTTTTCCAAAATTTCCGTATATTTATGTGATTTTTTCAGGATTATTCGGAGATTTCGAGAAATGGATATTTTTCCTAAACCTGTGGAGTTTTCGGGAGATGAAAAATTTCTCAAATCTTTCAGAATTTTTCAATAAATATTTTGAATTTTTCGAAATTTTACATATATTAATCAAACTATAAATTAAGCAACCTAGAACATTTCAAATTTAAGTTTTCTAAAAAAATATCACAAGCTTCAGTTGTCATGGCAACAGTAGCTTTTTATAAAAATCACTAATATTATTTTCCAGTCTCACAGCGAACCCGTAGCGCATTTCAAGGTCCTTGAGCACCCTGTATTGGTTACAGTAGAAAATTTAAAGTTGGTATAGATATTGCAAATATCAAAAGGAAAAAACTGAGCGGGTGCTCCGTTTTCTAGGATGACATTTTTTCCCCCGTACAAAAATTTGACCACTCTAATGTACATACATACATATATGGACATAAGACTTTCCTAAGAAAATATGGAAAAAAATTTGTCTGCAAATTTCGATATGCATACCCTCTAAATTTGTGCTTTTTAGCGTAAACAACATGTATTTGAAGTTTTATCGCCGTAGGATAACGATAACCCGTGCTGACTTGTAGTTAAAGTTTTATCTGATAACTTGAATTAAGGCTACCAAATCGTCGATGAAAACTTTGGAAATGCGAAAAATTCTATATGTTTCCCATATTTGAATGCACTTATGTAAATCAGCATCTTTAAATTTTTAATAGGACGGCAGGATTTCTCGCAAGGACATCGAAGAAATTAATTACAGGTCTGACAGGGCGTATGATGAACATTCAATTCAATTCAATTCAATTCAATTCAATTATTGACATGTCCTCTCGGGTTGATTAAGCAACAAATGTGGAAGTATTATAAAAAATTTGAAAATTATCCTTTGAAATATGTATCCTTTTATATCCTTATATATATTCATAGCATTTAAATCAGAATTAAACAGAATTTAAATTAAACTAAGATTCTTCAAAACCTTTAAGGATAATATTTTTTGTAGGAGATTTTTGGCATGCTCCAAAATGATAATTGAAAACAAAAGTTATAATTAAGCCTGCTTCGAATTCTTCTTTCAATTGATAGGCCTATGTACATATTTTGTGTAAAATTTTCGAAATATATTGATGGTCCTTTGGAAAAAATCCTGACTATCTGGTAAAAAAACTAAAAGCGCAGAATTACGAAATATTATGTCCTAATACTATAGGGAGTATAGTAATACCGTTTTATACAGAAGCAAAATGAGTAAATTAACAAAACATATGAACTGCACAAAGCTTGTTCTGATAACTTTGGCTGCAAGTCAGCACGGGTTGCCGTGGTCCGAATTGCATACAATTTTATTCGGATAGTTTTTAACGCAAAAACCAATAAAATGTGGGGGTAAGCGTTAATAAAAAGCAGCTTTGGTTTTTTTGGGCCAGTCTTATCTATAAATCCCCTTAATCGTAATATTGAAATATTTTAATTTCTAGGACTGCAGTTAATTCCCGAGATAATCCCAAATTAACGAGTTGAGCCTGCCCAACGCTAACGTATGTCTATGCTTTTACAGCAGGCATGGGCAGCGCTGTGCAAAAGTGGTGCACTTGCTTATGGAGTTATGCCTGCGCTGCCCATCTATGTTTTACAGCACCACGCTACACGACTATGCTACATTGTTTAACATTTCGATTATGATAAGTATAGGACTAGTTATTTTACAAGACAACTTAAGTTTCTATTGTAGAGTAAGCTAATAATCATTTATAGTCATGGCGTGTACTATATATTAGGTTGATTGACTCGGCTTTTCAAAACCGGTTTCCACCGTCTTTTTTTTTGAAATCTATAAGCGGTTTTTTTGTAATCTTGTTTTTTCGAATATTGCATAAACCATATTTTTTTGATAGAACAAACCGTTTTTTTCATTTGATCCAAACTTGGCCGCTGAATTAAACTTTTTTTCAAACTGGCCGAAAAGCTCCTTTAACTACCCCATAGGAAATTGAAACGTGGCCCTCGACACATAACAACATAAAACTTTTATACCATGTCCCCACCGAAGCTAACCACGTAGTTATGGCTATTGAGTTGGTTATCCCGATAACCCACTTGATTTAGCGTAGTTTCGCCATATAAAATGACAGCACTTAACCATTTCACTGAGATGGTTAAAAGCTAACCAACTCGAAACCACGTCGAAAGTCTGATACAACCCTGTGTTTTCCCGCCATCTGTGGGTCATTAGCGTTAAAATGTAAAGAATTCGTTCCCAACTATTGTTTGGACTCAGCTAAAATCAGATTAGATTTACTCCGGTTTTTAAAAATATTTGAAATCAAGTCCTCTACTCCGCTTGACTTCAAATCAATTCCGTTTTTTTCATTCATGTTATGCCCCTCTTGGGGCTGTTTTTTGAGTGTTCACCACCGGTTTCAGTAACTCTTTCATAGCAATGCGTCAATAAAGTAACTTCGTTGTTTTTGTTTTGCAACTTCGTTGTTGTTGTACAAATTGGCGGATGCAGAACTTAACTTAAGTTGTTAAAAAATACATGTAGAATGAAATTTATATAAAGTAGAAAAGGTTTGCTTTTTTAGATACGTTCTACTATATAGAAAATGCTAAAAATTACCAAAATATGTAACATATCCTTACATTGCCTCGCGTAGGTATTTATTTTGCATGAATAGAAAATATTTTAGTCAAACAATTAATGTCAGTAACAAAAATTCAATCTAGTACGGAAAATTTGTTTTTTCTCCGATTTTTGCAGCTATTTAGTCCTGAATCGTTTTTGGGAGGTCCGAACACTGTTCTTTACATTTGTACTGTTTTATAAACCTCAATCCGCAGTGTGGACAGCAATAGTTAGTGAGGTGGTTAAGTTCGATTTGAGATGGTTAACTTTTTGGTGGGGACATGGTATTAGGTTTTTCGAAGTTTTGTAGTTCAAGGGAAGTCCCTAAATAGTTTCAAAATAATATCCTAGGTTATTTGGGGATGAACAGTATATCATATTTGATTCCAATAAACGAATGCTTGGCCGCTTAAAAGCTTTCTACGTATTTGGCGGAGCTTCTCTTCGCATTCGTGTTCTGCTTTTTTATGGCAGAAGTACACTCGGAGGGTTGCCATTGCCTGCCGAGGGGCGAAAGTTGCTGAATCCCCCGAGTGGCAGTAGGCATCTCTTAGCACTCGGCTACGGCAGCAAGAGCACAACTCAAAACCGAAAAAAGTCATAAAAATGCAATAACGTATTAAAGAAAGATCAAACGTGCATTTTTCACGTGTATTCGTTTTAGTTTTGATAAAAAAAAACTGTTAATAGTTTTATTGTATTTTTTTAGTTATGACTTCATACCAAGTTAAACATTTTCCATGTATAAAAAATATGTAAAATAAAACCGGTTCATCCATTTTTTCCTAATTTCAAAATCAGCAACCGGTTTTTTTCAAATTGCAATTTTGCGAATAACTCGAAAACCGGTTTTGGAAGAAAAGCGAATAATCGAATACCGTAGTATGTACAAATGTATGTATATACTAACGTGACTACAGCAATAGGCAAGTTTTGTTATTAGTTGTGTAAACATATCGAGCCCTAACCGCCAAAATAACGTAAGCGACATATTTTGCAAAATTTTCTTTTTGATGCAGAAATCTATCTAGATGCTCTAGGAATATTTCTGCATCAAAAAGAAAATTTTGAAAAAAATGTCGCTTACGTTATTTTGGCGGTTAGGGCTCGATATATAAGTTGGTTGCCGCCTGCTTGTTGCCTCTCGTACAAGTAAATAGAAAAGGCATACATATTTAGTTTATTTGAATGTGCTGTGATGTGTAAGTGTAAATTATTATGCAATAAAAGCTATTCCAGCAGCACAACTGCCACCGAAAGTACATACTCGTATGTAGTAGGTACGCCAGGCAATCAAGAAACTCATTCTGTAATCATTCATTCATTATGAATGCTCTTGAAAGCTGCCTGACCTGGCATTTGAAGTTGCAGCCTGCAGTTAGCCAGAATTTATAATATTTGCTATGTAAATATGTATGTATATGACTGATTAAAGCAACTTATGTATGTGCATTTATGTATTTTCGTTTGGAATTTCTGAAATTAATTTCACTGAAATTTATATTGAAATCATTTATTAATACTTAGAAGTGATTCATTGGCACACATAATTGATGCTTTCGCCGAATAGGTTGGCAATCGAATTAACAAGGAAATAATTTCATTAAGTTTTCGGATACATATCCGTACCTGAAAAATCGTTTAATAGCACACTTATGAGCCCACTTGCTGCAAATTGCTTACAAGAAATGAAATACGACGGACATGGCTGTAGGGAGCGTATAGTACCAATGCAGCTGGAAATAAATATTCGATTTCAAAATGCATACTTTATGACGTAGTTATTTATTTGAGAAATCAAACAGGGATGTATTCCTTAGTAGATCAATGCTTCGAAATTTAAAATTTCTCTGTTCGATTTCTTAGAAAAATTTGGAAAAACAACTATTATTTTATGCGCATAAGAAAATGCGCATACAATAAAAAAATCGACGGTAATTTTTAGCGACTTGAAAAACCTCAAAACTGAATTCTCAAAATGTTTCTAAGAATTGGAATTGGAAAATTGAGAAATTCGTTGAAAATTGATTGGTATTTCTTGAATTTTTCCGAGTTCTGTATTGAAGAAAAAAAAAAAATCTTGTGGTCCTTGCAGTTGAATGAACTATTTAAAAAAAAAAAAATAAGAAAAATTTGGTATGGAAAATAAACGTATGCATATTTTTTGACGCTGACTGTATATATTTAAAACCTTTTAAAAATTTGTTTTCATAAGAAAAAACACAAACCTTCTGTTTTTAAAGGCCAATGTAATTTTTTTATGTAACGTGAATATTTTTCCTGAACTCTCAATCGCTTAAGTTTTGAAATACCGTTACATATATTTTGCTTCTGTTCTCCGTCTCGAGATATTAGAATTTGACACAAAGAAAGTTAATTTTCGACACTGTGGGGTGTCGCCCGAGATTCATTTGAATATTGAAATGAGAACACCATGGAAATGATAGACCACATTAAAAGCCTTCATATATAGGGTGAAGAGTGAATGGCTGCGGAGTTTGTATGCTTAAGATGAGTGGTTATATTCAGCACCAAAATTTGGTAGATGCTGCATGCAATTTCATGACATTGTGTCTCAAAAGTCATTCCACTGTTAGGCTAAGTGTGCCGCATCTGTCAGCTGTAGCCGCACCCACCTTCCTACATAAGTACACACCCATTAAGACGTTTAAAGAAAAAAATATTTTCGAAATGTTCGTAGTTTCTATTATTAAAAACGAACTAGGTCATGCGAATGCCTCAATTAAATTTAAATGCATTACACAAAAAATACAATACAAATCTCAATATATTGACAGAGATCTTGTACAGTCATTTCTCAGCTAGCAAGAAATTCGTAAGCCTTGCAGGCAGTCAACTTGACAGTTTTCGTGTAAATGCTAATTTAACTTACCTTAATTGAAATGTTTGTATAATATCACCGTCCATTTGGATGAATGTGTTATTCTTGGCAAAGACGAATGTTTTCTCCTGACCCGTTTCAGCAAATGTCAGCTCAGGGCCTCGTTGCTCGAATGGCACAGGGTTGGAATCAGAGCTATCAGCGCCATAAAACGGCCCTGCAGTGTTTGCGGGCAACTGTATTGCTGATTCAGTCGTGCTGGGCTCACTGGTAGTCGAGCGCAAAAAAGGTGGCAGCGTATCTAAAAAGAAGATAAGAATTAGATAAGAAATGAAAAAAAAACGCTGAAAATTTGCAAACAGCGCACATATACAGCGTTCTCAACATTTGCCACTTACGCGGTCCACCAATGCAATGATACAGACACTCGGCCTCTGTGTTGAAACGATTCTGCGGATTACCTTCACAGCCACCCCAAATGAAGGTGGTGCATTCGTTGGAGAGCGGCTCATAGCGCCATTTATAAATATATTGCTTGCAAGGCCCTGGATCGCCGGGCCCTGTGCACTTCTCGTACAACTTCTCTCTTGGCAATACCATAATGTTGCTGCTGTTAGCGCTACTGCCGGCCACACCGCCAATGCCTCCCGCATTTGTGCCACCTATATTGAGCAAATCAATATCACTACCACTGCTGCTGCTGCTGCTGCTGCTGGCGCTGTTGGCAGAACTGCTGCTGCCACTCCCACTGACGTTGACATTGTTTGCAGCGTTTGTGCCGCTATTTATGCCTGCATTGGGTATCCCAGTGGCAATGTTATTGTTGTTACTATTACTATTTACATTACTATTGCCACCTGCTCCATTGCTACCACTGTTGTTGTTGTTGTTGTTGTTGCTATTACTATTGGAGCTCATGCCTCCGACGCCGCCGCCACCAACACTTTGTGCCGCAAGCGTATTGGTGGATGCCGGTAGCGCGTTGGTTGGAACGAGGAACGCTTGTGTGTGTAGTAGTAGGAGCAGCAGGCAGTGGTAGTATCGTCGCCATGCTGCTGCCACCATGTGAGACCGCATTGTGCTGAAGTTGTTGAAGCTGTAAAGGTGGAAATTCATTAATAAATGTATGCACGTTGAGGGAATTCGATCTAAGCAACAATTGTAAGGATTTCGATTGGGTCTTTAGTGTGGGTAGTGGTGAATGTGTTTACTTTCGAGTTATAAGCTCAGTTATGGAATCCGTAGAAACATCGGTGAATAGCCACAACCTATGCACTACAGTGGAAATTAAGTCAAAACAAATAATTACATTGTAGAGAAAATCTAAAGTTTTGAAATGACACAAAAAAATTCCGATACATGTAAAATTAATATTGAGTCGTAGATTATAGTTGATTTCCACCAAGCCTTAACTGCAGTTTATGTCCAGTGATGCCAGACATTCTCTGTTAAATATCCCACGGAAATGGGGAAAAAATCCCTCAATTACCCACATCTTGAAAATTTATCCCACAAAATTCCCAACGAATTTAAACATATACATGCTTCAGTAGTAAAGAAGTAAAATTCATATAAAATAATAATAATAGTTTGGCGCTTACACATATGTGCTTTTCCTCCAATTTGTGGCGGTCCCCTTGATGTCGCACAAAGGGGAGGGACCTACAGTTTTACGCCGACTCCGAATGGCGAGTGTATTTTTATGAGAAGCTGTTTTTCATGGCAGGAATACACTCGGAGGTTTGCCATTGCCTGTCGAGCGCCGACCGCTGTTAAGAAAAAACCCCTTTTTCTGCATTTTTTTCACTCATTCATTTTTTCCCTTTCATTTTTTTGCTCACTCGCTAAGGGCCTAAAAGAATTTTTTGGTGACTTTAAAATTGAAGCACATTCATGTGCTATTTAACATTTCATCAGATAATTTGTTCCGCTTTTTACATGAAACACCAGTTACAACTGAAAAGATTCTTTCTTACTCAGCGCTTGAATTGGTTAACGTAAGAAAATTTTCGAAATTGTCCTTATACTTTTTAACAATTATATACCATTTCACTCCACATCACATCTTCAGAACGATTAATTACGTAAGAATGTCGAATATTCTTGAATTTTGATCAATTATGCAACAATAACTGCGTCAAAAGAAAATCCCTTATTTATATGAAGTGTCCCTTTTTTCCCTTTTAATAATTTTTGATGCAAAATATCCCTCAAATAGGGAAATTACCCACAATCTGGCATCACTGTTTATGTCGTTTGGGAAACGGAGATGCCAGCTCGAAGCGGGTAATTCCACCTATTAAGTACAAGCAAATGAAAGGAAAAAAAGCAAAACTTAAGAATAAACCTTGCCGATCACCCCATGTTGGAATTATTGGAACTTCTCTGAGCTCTTAACTGCAGTTAAGCATTTGGTGGAAATAGGCTATTATGGATCTGTGTACCGTTTTTCCAGATCAGGTAATTTTCCTAAGATATTTAAATTTTTATTAAAAAACTATTCAATTTCAACAAGTAAAAAATTAGAAACTAACAAATCTTTTGTGTCAAAGCCTGTTATTTTGCAAACAAATCAAGCTAGTAACGATGAAAATGGGTAAAATCATAAACAAGTTGTGTATGGTCTAGAGATGCCATAAGATTCTACACGGACGGCTCCACACTAGAAAATAGGGTAGGAGGAGGCGTCTACTCGGAGAAAGTGGGAATAAAACAAAAATCATTCCGACTACCTGACCACTGTAGTTTCTTTCAAGCCGAATTGGCAGCCATACAAGAAGCCGTTGACAGCTTAAAACTAGCTGTTATCGCCACTACGGAAATATATAATATATACTCAGACAGTCAGGCGGCCCTTATGGCGCTTGACTCAGTAACTATAAATTCAGAAACAGTTGCCAACTGCTGCAAATCACTTAACGTAATGGCGGAGCAGTTCGCTTTGCAGCTGGTATGGGTACCGGGGCACAGTGACATACCAGGAAATGAGAAGGCAGACGAGCTTGCAAGAGTGGGTACTTCCTCTCCACTTTCACCAGCCTGGAAGAGGATGGGTATGCCACTCGCTTCCTGCAAGCTCTTACTAAGTGAGAAATTCCTTAAAAAGGCGGCCTCCAGATGGGAGCGCACTGAAAACTGTAATACAACGAAGCTTACATGGCCAAAACGGGATGTACGGAGATCGAGGGAAATTCTCACTCTCAATAAAGGCGATATGTCACTGGCCATTGGTCTGTTCACCGGACATATTCTGATAGGAAGGCACGCAGAATGCCTCGGGGTTAGTCACAACGACTACTGCAGAAGCTACCACGACGAAGAAGAGCCTGAATCAATAAGGCACTTACTCTGCGATTGCCCAGCACTAGGCAGGAAAAGACAGAAATTCCTAGGTATAGGTCTTCTAGACGATCTAAGCGCGACTGCTAAGTTTGGAATACGGCAGTTGCTAAGGTTCGCAGACTCCACGAACTGGCTTAAGGAGTAGGGTTTTTTTTTGGATCCATGTGGTATCACAATGGGCCCTGATCGGGCCTAAGTATGCTGTTGCCCTCTGGGCCTAGCAGCCACTTCAACCTAACCTAACCTAACCTGTGTATGGCATGATCAGAAGGGTTTAACCCTATTTCGGGTATGGGGAAATGAACTGCATCATTAGTTTTTCCTTTCCTTTCCTTTTTTTTAAATTAGTCCTTGATGGGCTTAAAGCTCAAAATTCCAACTGTTAATTAGAAAACTGGGAAACTAAGAAATGACTATAGATAGTTGGCAATTTGTGCTTTGAGCCCATTATGGCGTAATCGAAGGGGTGGACATTAGTTTTTACGGCCATATTCGGATTAAAGCGCCCCGAAAGAAAAAACATAGAAATACACTTACAACTTAATTTTCTAAGGAAATTTACAATTCAACCCCCCCTTAGGTTATAGGGAGTGAAGGAGGGATTTAATTCTTTTTTTGTAGTCATTTTCGCTTTCGGCGGCCTGAAAAACAGGATTACTCAACTTTGCATGAAAAATAAAATTATAATGTACAGTGGTGGTGGAAGAGGGGTTGCGGGAAAATGGTCTGTAGAAATTATTTTTTATGGCCATATTCGTTTTTAGGCACCCCAAAAATCTAAGAATAGTGGAGTCCTCCTCTAGCTTCACAACTTTCTTTTTTGTCTGTTTTGCCTGTGTACTTAATTGCGGATTTTCCACATAAAAGTGTCCAAGACCTTTTTCTTAGTGCCGGTATGTTTACAACAGTTAAGGCTTAAGATATTCCGAACATCTTTTCCAAAGAAATTTTGCCGAAAAAATCAACCAGATAAAAGTTAGAAACCATGAATAGGGTATACAACTTGAAAAAGTTCCATTGGAGGCGAAATTAAAAAAAAAAATAAAAAAATTATGAAGGTGAGCAGAAAACTTAAAAAAAGAATAATACAGTTCGATTCCCCATACCCGCGATTGAGTGAAACCGTCCTCTACGGCCATGTCTTTTTTGCGGCTATAATAGTGTAAGTTTTTGTAGTAAAGAGGAGGAAGGAATGTTACTCATACGCCATAGCGTACCAGGCCGAAATTGTATATATGTATTTACATATGTACTCGTACATGGCGTATGAGTAAAATTTTGCTTGTTAAAGTTTAAAATGAAAATATTTTGGGAAAGTGACCTGATCTAGAAAAACGATATACAGATCCGTAATCTACAAACCAAAATTAAGTTTACGTGTCGTGGCGTTTTTTGTGTTATTTTAGGATCCCTACAGTGTTATAAGAGTTTCACTTCAATAAGCAGTTACACATTACAATTGAGCTTAAAGTCAATTTACTTTATGCCCAGGATGAAGAAATGGGCTGGAGAACTATGAATTTAAACGAAGAAAGAGCAGCGTCGATATGGAGCCAAATGCGATTTCACAGCAAGTTACTTTTTGACTTTACCAATACTTATCTGCAATAGGGAGAATGCTTCGATGTTTATAACTACTGCCAGGAAGGAGCTTCTTGACCTCAACGTTAGAATCTCTTATATCAGACTGGAAGACTCTTCGTGATCACTCCTTTTCGGATTATATATATAATAGCTGTCCCTGTTGCATTAGACGAGAACTCAGTATTTATCTTTATTGTTATCGATATAATAATCGATATTTTTAACGATGTCGATATTTTTAACGATTTTGTTATCGACATTTTTTATCGGTTTTGTTATCGATTTTCCCATTGATATTTATCGATTTTGCCATCAATATTTTTGTTATCGATATTTGTATCGCTTTTGTTATCGATATTTTGATGAATGTTACTATCGATTTTGTTATCGATAGAGTATAAAAGTAATATGGATAGAAGTATAAGTTCAGGCGAAACGGAATATTATAGACAAGGCGCACATATTAAATATCGTTTTACTACCTTTCAATAAACTGCATGATAAGCATGATTAATTAAAATAATTGGACCAAGTTTGGTGGAAATCGATATACAATTATAATTTTCTGATTAGAGGTCATTTCATATGTTGATTTTGAGCAAATTGGCTTAAATAGTTACTAATTTATCGCAGTTTTCGTATTTCTGTAAATTACCTCTATATGGGAGGTGGGCATGGTTCTTGTCTGTTTTCAAAAATTTTCAGCGAGTTCCTTAGTCAAGCACTAAGTAATGTTCGCACCGAGTTTAGTGGGGATTGGTAGACGGACTACAGAGATACAGCATTTTATCATAAGAGGGCGGGGCCACGCCCATTTTCTAAAAATTTCATAACTGACTTATTTTGTGCAAAAATTCTACTTTGCATACCAAGTTTCAACAATTTGGATCCGGTATTTTCGGAAATATCGTAGTTTTTGCATTTTTCGAAAATACTGTTATATAGGAGGTGAGTGTTAATCCCAACCTACCTTCGATAAAGGGAAACCTACTTACTAAATTTTGTTGAGATATCTCAATTTGCTCTCGAGTTATCGTGTACACGGACAGACGGACAAACGGACATACGGACAGACGGACGGACGGACAGACATGGCTTAATCGATTTCTCTTTTCAGTCTGAGCATTTATGTGTACATTTATCTATATCTATCCCGATTCGTGT